GTATCATAATATTGTTTATTCTTTATTTGACCTAAACATTTAAATTATAACTGCCCGGGTTTCCGCACTACTACACAACTATATCAGTATCAGACTGAGCTTCGTTTCGTCACGGTATTGGGCCCATAAAATAAACGTACTTCCTTTTGGTTTACTTCATGAAAAAGTTGGGAAAAGAGTAAACAGCTGCAGTAAACAGCGTCACCAGTTAAAATCTGCGAGAATATGAAAGAGATGCATTGTAAAAATATTACATAACCGCAGATTATTTGAAGGTCTTTGTCATGCATTTGCGTACAAGAAATTATAAATTGAAACGCATTTTGGTTTTTTTTTACTTCGTGTGGTGTTGAATTTAATGTTGAAATACGCATCGAAGAAACTTTAATAATAAAAGAAGTACTTGTGCTTTGAATTATCTTTTGGTGTTGCGTGCACTGGTGTATAAACAATCTGTTTTTCAAAATTTAAATTTATTGGAGCATAAAATTACAAAGAAATGATTAAAAAAAATTTCTTGCATTACCTGACCAAGGTTAACAGTCTAAATAATATTTTCAAAATCTGTTTGTTTTGACAATTTCAACCAATTAAATTAATTTCAGTGTTAAATTATCATCTTTATTTTTAACCATATACAATGAAAAAATCTGTGGATCTACAATAAGTATGATTTTTCAAATATTTAGCTTTAAAAGATTACCCTTAATTTTACATTTCAGTAAAAAAACAAAAAAAATTTAGTTTTTAAACAATTATAAGCAATAAAATATTTAAAGGTTGTAAAAATCATTCATATTATTTTTATAGCTATGGTGCATGTAGTATTCGCACAATATATTCAAAAGTTTGATTTTTTAAATAAATTTAGCCACACGTTACAATATAATAGTTGGTTGTACAAACATTGAGATTTACAAGCATTTTAAAACTGTGAGATTTCACCAAAAAAATTTTTTTTCATATCATATTTTCAGTAACCTCATGATATAATTTTGAAAAAAATTTGACATTAATTCGTTTTGAAACCAAATAATAAGAAAAAAATTCTTACGCAGCTTAAACTCTCTTATCAAAATAGGTCGTACGCAATAAAAAATACTGAGACAGAAACGAAATTTTAAAAGCACCTCTGTACCCATACATAATTAATTTTTGAGATTCCATTATCCAAATCACACAACGTGAGGGTAACATTCTGCTCTGCAAATCCAATCATTAATTAAAGTCGATCATATTGTATCATTACATGACTGATAATTATAATGAAAATTTAATTAAATATTTCCAAATTTGGTGAGGGTTCCACAACACCAAATAGTTGAGGTCCAAAAGCCAGTTCCCGTCGAGCTTCCGCAGCAGGTGCCCGTGTACTTGAGTAAGTTGATAAAACAGCAAATAATAATCATGCACCCATGTATGAATTTTAGAGCATACTCTAACAAAACCGATTCGGGAACTTGTAGCGTGTCTCTGGAATTATTACAAGTACGATGTTGAATGATGTACTTGGATTTTTTTACAAGAATATTCATCGACAACAGTCAGTCCACGACTTGGAGACAATAATTTTGCAAATTAATAAATGATTATTTTTGTCCCACGGAATATTCGTCATTGCAAATCTTCATTAAAATGCACACAACGTTTGTATTGCTACCGCAGTCAGAGCATTAATCAAGCCGACTACAATTGTAATATTAGTTTTAAATTTTATAATTTTTAATCCCTAAGTAGGGCCTGAATCAACCATTTGTAAACTAACGTTCTCGCGCTGAAAAAATATAAAAACGATGGACAGCTATGGATTAAAATTGTAAAATTCAGAGGTAGTCACATAAATTTTCAACGAATAGCATTCATTGTTTCAACATCCCAAACATGCAGTGACGCTCCAATAAGTGAATATTTTTGCAAAATAATCCATGCATCAGTCAAAATTCGTCGATGCCATGCACGCGACACAACACCCATCCGCAAGTATATACGTATTGTCTGTTTTTACGCCAACATTTGGATTTCAGCTAAGCCGTTGGCGCTGCCGTACCCCGTACCCGTGCCCCAGCCGATCGCCATAAACAAACCGGTCTACTATCCGGTGCCCCACCCGATTCCCTACCACCAACAGTATAATCACGCCGAACACGATCATCCGGTAAGTTCAAGTGTCTTTCCTTATGAATTGCACTTGTGCGTATAAAAGGACAGGGCGTTGTCGTCTGGATCGCCGAGTTCGGGCGCGTTGAACCGGTAAGCGGATGGTCACGGGCGGAGAGCGTAACTATTCAGTGGGTTTATGTAAAAAAAAAAAAAAAAAAAAAAAAAAGACGGAGCAGGCTGGGAAAATTGAGCGATACTGCGAGTGGACGATTCGGGCGGTGGGTGGTGATTAAATTAAATTTTATACTGCGGGAGTGAAAGCTCAAAGTGGTGTGACTATCGGGTCGGAGTTTCGGGTTTTTTTTTTTTTTTTTTTTTTTCTTTTTCTACTTGTTGGCGCAAGTGTACTTGCTACTTCTTGTATGGTTTTCTAAAGATCGTGAGGTAATGCGTTGATTGTTGTTTTTGCAGCACGACGTTCACGCCAGTCTGTTGGCCGGTCCGGCTGACTTTGAAGAAAAAAGATGGGCCGAAAACGAGAGGGTTCGGCATTTAGCGGCGAGCCAGCATTTGGCTCGTGAGTTCCAGGCGTCTCAACCGGACTACGCCAATGCGGATTGATGCCGAGAAAGGACATGGCGTTTCATGGGTGATTTGATGAGCTTTGGATATTCGCGAACAAGAGGCTAATTTTGTTGTTTCATTCGTGCTAATGTAGTTCTAAGTTTCATACCGTTTGAGGCGTACTGTATTTTTTTTAATTTTTGAGTTGCGTAATAATAATAATAATAATGTTTTTTATGTTAGACAAAATGTTATGTCCGTATTTTTCTGGAATATTGAGGGAAGCTTATTGGTATACATCCGGAGTTTGGAGATTTTGAAGACAAACAAATTAACTTATTGTAGTTTAAAGTTTGTTTCATTGAAGAAAAGGCAAAAGTTGTAACTAAAGGAAACTATTGCTTTTTGAAACTTATCTTTACGTCACGAATTTCTTTTTGAGTCTATACATTTCTTTGTTAAATCTGAAGCCATATTTTATTTTTTTAATACTTAAACTTTTTACTACCACCACTTTTACCGTTATTGATGTTGTTAATATAATTATAAACTTCTTCTGTACATAATTTTATAAATAAACTATTTGTGAAATTAATTTCAGTGTTAAATTATCATCTTTATTATTACTATAACAAT